AGAAGAGCAGGAACCAGTAATCTGATCCAAACTTCTCAATGTAAAGATTAGAAGACTGAAGAAAGATAAAGGCATCAACTAACTTGGTAATTGAGCAAAAGACCTAAGTAGACTCTATACCCAGAGACAGCATTTAAGGAAAGATAAGGAAATCTAAATCCAAGCCCCAACTCTACCCTCATAGCTGTGTATGTTGGAGAAAGTCCCTTCCCTTCTTTGTAACTCAATTTTCTTACCTTCAAGGTAAGATACTCCTAAAAGAAAAGGGAAGGAACTTGAGACAGCTGGAGCAGAACTCAAAAGAGCCAAATGGGAATCACAGCCATGCCACCACAGCTACCCCAGCTGGAGTAAATCCTTAAGGAGTAGCAACAGGAGGAGACGCAAAGGCTAGAAGCCAACATATATTAACCTAGACTGGGTCAGGCTGTTCCTAATAAATTGTAAGAGATAGAAAGTTGGGCACATGAAGGTAAAAACCTTTCTTCAGTTTGAGAACTGGATCACATACAGCATTCCCCAGAATCGTGTTCCTCACAGTCCTGGGAAAGAAGAATATCCTAGGTATGGGACCCAACCATCCCTGTTTGGCTGGAACTGAGAATCTTAGGACATGGGACTTTTAGGATGAAAACTGAGACCGTTCCAGGTAAACAGGACTGTTTGGTCACCCTAATCCTGGGGGTAGGGTGGGTAGGTGGACTGAAGTTCATTTGTTGCAGAAAGGGTTACAGATAAGGCTTCAGCCAGTGAGTATATGAAGGAAATGCTTTCATTATTTCATAAGAATTTACTGAACACTTATATGTCTGGCTCTGCCAGGTGCTTCAAAATAACAGTGAAGAGACACCACCTCCATCCTCACAGAGCTTATAGCCAAAGGGAGGATTCATCTCACAACTTTACCATACTGTTGAACTTCTTCCTATACTTTCTGTTTAATTTTTCAGTGAAAAAAAACTATGTTGATTCCTCACTTTATAACTTGCACCAAAGTAATTCCAATCAAACTGAACATTTATTTTTTAAATTTTTATTAAGATATATTCATTATACAAGGAGGAATTCATAGTGATAATTCCAATTACATTATTTACATTGCCCCCATCATCTCTCCCCCTCAACCTCCTCCCTCACTTCACTTAATTGCAAGGAGTTTCTTAGTTCTGTTTCATATGAAACTATGGGGCTGAGGATATAGCTCAGTGGTAGAACGCTTGCCTCGCATACACAAGACCCTGGGTTCAATCTCCAGAGTCACAAAAAAAGAAAGAAGGAAAGGGAAAGAAAAAGAGAAATTATGAAAATACTAGAAGAAAAACATGGGCAAATGTTTTCTTAATCTTTAAAAAGATAGAAAGGTGCATATATACATTCATACATAAATGGATACATTAGACTTCAGAAGTATCCAGTTCCTTTCTAGCACTGATTATCACCTGAGTGCAAACGCAGAAGCTGTTCCTTGTGGAAGCCTGAGTCATCCTGTTTCAATGGCAAATCCCACATGAACTATACAGACCAATCCTAAAACATTAGGATTTCTCCTCATAGGCAGTAAGGTAAGAAAGAGAAGTTAATGGAGAACTATGTTTCATGGGCATGTGTGAACACACAAACACACACACTATTAAACTACTTAACTGAAGTTTGAAGATTCTTGCACCAAAAAAATTTAAAGCAACTTAAAAACCCAGGTCTCATTTTCTCCATTTTGCAGATGGAGAAATGGAAAGGCACTCAAAGCAGCTCTGTTCCTCACTTTGTAAAGGTGAGTGGTGTTTGCTTTCCATGTGAATAGACCAAAACGCACACATAGGGTTGGCCATCACCTGGGTTCTGCATGCAGAGAACTTCATCCAGGCAGCTGACTTCACTCATGGACAACATGCATTTGGATAAAGTTGGGGACCCACTATCTTTTCTACCCAAAGAATCCACCTGACTTCCACCAGTGATTCCACCAAGAACAAGGGGAAAATCCTCTGTGTCCTGTATTCCTAAAGATAGAAGGATGAATTAGGCATGGTTCCACTCAAGATGCTTAACTAGATGAGGTGAGACAAATACTTAGGTACAGTCATTACAAAGCAGCAGGGTACCATGCTGTGCAACAGAGCACTAAAACTTACTTCTCTAGTCTAACTGAAACCTTGTACCCTTGGGTCAACATCCTGTTTCCCAATCCCATCCTGACTCCATCTTCTAGTAGAACCACCAGTTTACCTGCTAAGAGATCTTCTTTATATTCTGCTTAGTGACTGCAGTTAATAACAATGTATATTTCAAAATTGTGAAAAAGGATGGATTTTAATATTCTCAGAACAAAAACATGAGTTGGTGAAAAGATGAATGTGTTAGTTAGCTTGATTGACTCTAACATGAACACATAGATCAAAACATCACATTGTACCCCATAAATTTACAGCAATTTGTCAATTAAAATATTGCTTAATGGAGTATGGCTATGATACAGAGAACCCAGAGAGTAGGGTTCCAGCATGAAAGATGGAGTGGTCAGGTGTTCAGATACAGCTTCCTGGGAAAGATGACCCTTGAGCTGAGTCTTAAAAGATAAAATCAGGTCAGCTATAAAGAGGGAAAGTGGAAAAGTGAAGAAATTTGCTGAGATGGCCTGGAGTATTTCTATTTGGAGCAACCAGCAATATGTTTTATTAAAATATACATAAAAACATATAATATTGTTTTGTGCTTTTGTACATTTTTCTGCAAATTATGTTTTGTGTTTTGTTTGTTTATTTGTTTGCAGTGCTAAGATTGATCCCTAGGCCTTGCACATGCTAGGCAAGCACTCTGTCACTGAGCTACATACCCAACCCCAAATTCTGTTTTATCCTGATAAATTTTTGAGCTTTCTCCATATTGATACATATAGGTTGGCTCCACTCTTGTTTTACTCTCACAAGCATATGATAAATATTTAGGTTTCACTAATGCTTGGCCATTATGAATAATGCAGGAGTGTATGCACCCCCATGCATGTCTCCTTGTTACACATGAGAGTTTTCAAAAGTGAACACCAAGAAGTGGAATTACTACATGTTATGGAACATTGTGTCCCCTAAATTCATACTGAAATCATTGACATCCAATATGATGGTACTTGGAGGTGAGGGCTTTGGGAGATAATTAGGTTTAGATGAAGTCCTGAGGGTAGGTCCCTCATGATGGGATTATTGCCCTTATAAGAAGAGACCAGATCTCTCCCTCCCTCCCTCTCTCTCACTCCCCCCACCATGTGAGAATAAGGCAACTAGAACCCAACCATGATGACACCCTGATCACAGACTTCTGAATCTCCAAAACCGTGAAAATATGTCTGCTATTTAAGCTACCCAGTCTATAGCTCTTTGTCATAACAACTCAAGCAAAGACACTGGAGAAAGCACAGTTACAGGAAATATCCCAAATTTCATTTCCAAAAGCATGATCTCCCCAACATGTGCTATCCTCAAGAGTTTTCATCCAAGCTATGCTTTGTAGAAAGACCTTCATCATCCTCACTACACATAGAGATAAAAGGAGGAAAAAAGAGTCTTTACTTAGCTCCAGATCCTTTGGTGCATAGCCTTTGCCTCTTAGAACCCTCCAACAGAGATAGGGAAATTACACACCAGGAAGTTGTGGAACTCAGGCTCAAAATCAACATGCATGCTGCTAATGTCCACACTCTTTCCCATGTTTCATATACTGAACTAGCATTTATCAAATATTGATTGCTATCAGATCCTGAATTACATGGCCATTCTTAGCATATAGTAATATTCAATAAATATATATTGAATCAGGGAGCTCAAAACCTACAGGACAGACACACATGAAAAATGTTCACAATAGAAAGCCAAGTGCAGTAGCTCAAGCCTGTAATCCTACACACTTGTGAGGTTGAGATTGGGAGGATCACAGTTCAAGGCCAGCCTGGGCAAAAAGTTCATGAGACTCCATCTCAACAGAAAAAAACTGTCATCCCAATTCCAACAGGAAGCATAAAATAGGAGACAGTGATGCAGGCTAGCCTGGGCAAAATGAGAGGCCCTGTCTCCAAAATAACCAGAGCATGGTTCAAGCAATAAAGTGGCTACCTAGCAAGCACCAAACAATAGAATGGTGACGTGCTATGACCAAGACACGTGCTGCAGCAGGCACAAATGAGAGATGTATTTAGTTTCCCTTAGGTAGATTGGGGAAGTCTTCACACTGGAGATTTTGTCAAACACAAAAACAAGAAATGGGTTCTAGGTAGAAGAAGTAAGTGCTAAGGCACAGGAGGTAAAGCAACATTGCACTTCTGGGGAAATTACACTACTGATTGCCTTAAAGTTGTTTCCTTCCCACATTAATCCAAAGCATCTGTCTCAACTCAATTCAGTTCATTGGACTTTGATTAAATGTCTGTTATGTGCCATGCCCTGTGTGAGATACTTTATATTCATTATCACACTAAATTCTTTCATCTTTTTCCCCAATGCACAGATGAGAAAATTAAGGCTCACTAAGGTGAAGAAACAGCCCAGGAAGACATTCATGTTCTCTTTTCTTTCACACCTCATTATCTCCCCCAGATAGCAGGCTACTCCTTTCCCAAGTCTTACTTCAATGGACAGATGTCCTCTCAGCAAGCCTCAAGGCCCTTAATTAGTTTCCCTTTGGATCGGGAAAGGAGAAGGGAAAACTGGAGAGGAGAGTGCCAATAGAATCTTAAAATTTTCAATCCTTGGACAGACACTAAATATCATCCCATTCACCATTCACTCAACAAAGATTTATGAGCACCTGCTATGTGCCAGGCAATGCTCTCTGTATTGTGGATACAAAAGTGAACGAGTCAAGACTTCATGAAGATGAAATTGCGGTGACTTCTCAGAATTAGAAACGACAGTAACATGACACTTGTCCAAGGTAACACAGCAATTTTATTAGGACTGAATCCCAAGTCTACCTGATTCCCAGGACATAGTGCTTTCTTCTCTGAGATTGACATGGCCTTTCTCTCATCTCTTTCTTGCTTTTCTTCTCAGTCTCTGTCCAGCCAGGTAAGTCCAGAGAACTTCACCTGGATTGCCCCTGCTGAATTCATCCTCCTGGGCATCACCAACCGCTGGGACCTGCGTGTGACCCTCTTCCTGATCTTCTCGCCCATCTACCTAGTGAGCCTTCTGGGAAACATGGGCATGATATTGCTAATCCGAGTGGATGCTCGGCTCCACACACCCATGTACTTCTTCCTGGCCAACCTTTCCCTGCTAGATGCCTGCTATTCCTCAGCCATTGGCCCCAAGATGCTAGTGGACCTACTGCTGCCCTCTGCCACCATCCCTTATGCAGCATGTGCCCTCCAGATGTTTATCTTTGCAGGGCTGGCTGATGCAGAGTGTTGCCTGTTGGCAGCCATGGCCTATGACCGCTATGTGGCCATCGGCAACCCTCTTCTCTATACAACAGTTATGTCACGGGGTCTATGCCTGGCTTTGCTGGGAGCATCAGGCCTGGGTGGAGCAGTGAGTGCCTTTGTCCACACGACATTCACCTTCCGCCTGAGCTTCTGCGCCTCACGAGAGGTCAACAGCTTCTTCTGTGATATCCCTCCATTGCTGGCTATCTCGTGCGATGACACAAGTCTCAACGAACTCCTCCTCTTTGCTGTCTGTGGTTTTATCCAGACAGCCACGGTGTTAGCTATAGCTGTGTCTTATGGTTTCATTGCTGTGGCTGTGATCCGCATGCCCTCATCCGAGGGCCGACGGAGGGCAGCCTCCACCTGTGGCTCCCACCTCACGGCTGTGGCCATGCTGTATGGGACCCTTATTTTCATGTACCTGCGTCCCAGCTCCAGCTATGCCCTGGACACTGACAAGATGGCATCTGTGTTCTACACCCTTGTCATTCCAGCTCTCAACCCACTCATCTACAGCCTCCGCAACAAAGAGGTCAAGGAGGCCATGCAGCGAACCCAGAACCGATTCTGCTGTCCAGGACAAGGCACCCACAATTGGAACCAGGAGGCTGGTTAGGCCTGACTGTGAGTGAGGACACTCTCTGTCCCACCACAGTGGATAAAGATAGGTGTTCCTCTGGCTTGGATGTCTCTTGTCATTGTTAAAGAGATTATAATGGGAGGAGGGGAGGGTGGAAGCACAGGCGTGGAGGCAGGAACTTGGGGTTTTCTAGGGCTACACCTAGAGTCAGAACCAAGACCAGGTGATGTTGCTATGGAGCTGCCTGAGGTTCCTCACATGTAAGTTCTAGATGTTACCAGGTGAAATAACATAGTGTCATTTGCCACCTATGCCTTGTCCTTATAAAAGGCTAATCCTCAGAAAATCCAAGTGAGATCCATGTTGGCTCCAAGTGTTCCTAGATTCTTGCCATGTTAAGTTTCTCCATGACCAGTGAATATGCAATTTGCTCTCCTTGACTTCAGGTGAGCATCTTCAGACCCCACTCATGCTACAGTGGGTCAAACACCCACCCTGCAACCTTTGTCCTCCATGCCTCAGGAAGGTGGCTGAACAGCACCAGAACACACACAAACTCATTTCTAAAATCCAACAGTTGAATTTGAATTTGGCCAAAGTTACACTAGTTCAGGCACATGACAGAGGTTAGGAGAGGCTCATAATTATGATTAAGGTTATAGTAAGGTTAGCACTAGAGTTCAGGTTACAGCTAAGAGCTGGGTAGTTTAGCATTAGGGTCAGCTAAAATGAGGAAGCAATTGAGCAATTTAGGATTGAATTAAAATTACAGAAATTTTTATACTTACCTGGCATGTGAGATACCATGATCACAAAGGTGGTTTTCATAGAGGGTTTGTGCTCACACTTTCCCCTAGCTGAAAAAAAACAGAAATTTTATGACTTACATGGGTCTGTATTAACAGCAGATTTGGAATAAATTTAAGAGCCAGGCAGGGTTGGGATAAACTTGAGACTTATTAGAAATATTAGAAATATTTTATGGTTAGTATTAAAGTGCAAAACTAATTAAGATTGAATTCAGGTTTCACCTGCGCTGCTGGATTAAATCTGAGCTAGGATTTATTTTGTAATAGATGTAAGTTAAGTTGGTATGTGGATGATGGTTGTGATAAGTTTGGGCTACAGTATAGTTATTACATTTAGACTAGTTTTAGAACTAAGTGAGAGTTAGGCATAAGACTATTTTAGTTATTGACATATTTTGGGCTATACTTGGGGTTATGGATAATGATTAACTTTTCATAAAGCTTAAGCATAGGGGCTGGTTATTGGTGAATTTAGTTAAATTTCATGTGGCATTGAGAGTATGGTCAGATTAGCATATGGTTGTATAGGGTTAGTATAATAACTGTTTTAAGATTACAACATCCAGAAATAAGATTGAGGTTAGGAAAAGGATGCTATAACCCTGACCTCTTGGGCAATGGTACTCCAAGACTGCAGTACTCCAAGTCTTGGGTTACAGTAGACCCTGCAGAACCAGTGCTCTTGTGTCTTTCATCCACAAGGGTTCACAATTATTATAGATGTCCTTTGTCTTCTTGACTCAGTTCCTACTGGACAAGTCTCCAAGGCACTGCACCTTCCTGGAAAGGCCCTTCATGCTGAAACAGGATGGGAATGCATCCTAGGAGTTAGGGGACAGGAGCTTCCAAAGAGTGGTAGAACATAGCCAAAGGCAAATGTTAGCTTCTACTTGATCCCCTTCCTAGTTTCCTGGTTATGGAAAGGAGAGGACAGAGGTAGATTTCAAACAATGTTTCAATGTGACCCCCCAGTTGGTTCTCACTTCCTTGGACCCCAGCTGGGGGCTGGCCTTAGCCTTCCACACTCCCCTTCTAAGAAAAAAATTGAAGGAAGATGAAAAGCTTCAGTCTTCCTTCCTGGGAAGGTGATGCCCCTTGTTACTAGGACCAGGGCTTTTTCTCTTAGTTACTTAGTAACTCTTAGGTCCTAGGCTAGTGGAGAGAAGGATGTAGTTTTGGTATCTCCTCAAACCTTTGAGAACTTCATGGATTTCCTGACAGAGTGACCAACCCATCCCTTTGCTCACAATTCTCCTAGTCTAAACTCTAAGTCCTATATCCCAAGATCACATTCAGTTGTGGGCAGGATTGGTCACTCTTATTTCCTGATGAACTGGCATCTTGAGAGCAGATGTACAATATCTCAAACTCAGCACAGTTGGACAACATCTTTAAAAAATTAAAGTCCCTCTCCAACCACAAAGTGGTTTTTTGTAGTGAAAGTGATAGTAAAGTTTATTAGGAAAGGAATACACTTTCAATAGACTGCAAGTGGATCATCCCTAGAAAGGGAATGAGAATGACCCACAAGATTTTATAATCCATTCCCAGTTTCCCAGCTCCTCTTTATCTACTATCACCATAACAACCCACATGCCATGACAAAGCCTGAAGACATTATCAGAAGAGCTGAAAACCATAGCACTGTGAATATTATGTTTACCCCTACTGCAACAGTGTTTACACTCAAGATCGCCTCTAAGGTCTCTTCTTGTTATGGGTTCTTGGACTCTCGTGGCACAGAGTACCCATCATGATCAGAGGAAAGTTTCCAGAAGCACATAATACACATTATGGGAAGTGCTTGGCTCTTTCCACATATTTAGCATCCATGCAGCAGCCAGATACAATAATTACACAAATCCTAGAAATCAACTAGAGGAAACATGAAGGCTATTATTCTTGGCCTATGTGGTAGATAAGAAACAAAATAACAGGGAAGAGGGAGCCCAACCTGGAGAATGGAAGAAAAGGATCACTCATATGCCAACTCCTAAATGAGACACCCACTATAGCTCTTCCAGTTCTGATAAAGTATTTCCTTTTTAAACTCCTTCAATACCATTAATAAAACAGGTGAAGGGATAGTCACAGGTTTGGAGTGGAGAAGACTGAGGGACTTATTTGGAGCATTCATTGAACCAAATGAATTGAACCCAACAACATGGATGGGAATTGAGAGGAAGGGGCATTTTTTGGGGCAAGGGAATGTGGTACACAAAGACATGGAAGTAAAATAAAGTCCAGGTGTGCAGATGAGTCCAAGGAAACCATTTTAACTGACTTAAGAGGGCTATGTTGGCAAAGAAGTGGAGAGATGTTTGAATACTGAGGATCTGACAATGAAAAGGATGCTCCTTGGCTTAGATTTTTGGTAGAGGAATTTGGACTTCATCCAGCAGACAATAGGGAATCACTGAAAATTCATATATTGAATTCCCTTATGGTTGTTCTAACACTGTGTCATGTAAAAGCCATTCCCACTTGAAATGCTTCATATAGGCACAATTCCAATCTCCTCCTGGAATTATTTCGTGTTGGGGACTAGGCATGACCTTGGACTGGGAATAATGGAGCTTGCACAGCCTCTCCATGTAGGAGTTTGCACACCTCTTCTACCATAATTTCCCAAGTGCCTGGTTTCTTGACCTTTGTTCTCACATCTCCTTGAAGAATACAACCTGCTGTGTCTGCATACCAGCCCCCTGAGGCAAAACTAGATAAAGAACCAGAACTCTTAGGAGACTCCCTGATGCCAGATTAATCAATACCTTCCTGCCTTGATGATTCTAGAACTGTTGTGTTATAATTAAGCTTCATTAGCCTTAGGAAAATTAGCCCAACAAACCTCATTCCTTTCACCTTGCATCAAGAATTGTTAAAGCTTGATTTTTACCTGAGTCTTTTCCTTGTACTGACCTATAAAATAAACACTCTGGCTCAGGTAGGCGCTCACGTTTCCCATCAGGAACATACAGCCCTCCCGTCCCCAGCTTTTATGTTTTATGTCTGTATGTCTGTGTGTGTTTTATTTCTTGTTCCCCCGTTGCTCTTAGGCTCATGCAGCATACCCATGCAGGCCAGGGCAATTTCGTGCACAAAGAAACACTCTCACAGCTATGGCTCCCCCGCTACCACACACACACAGATGCACACGCAGCTGCACATTCAGACACACACTTGAGCTCCCAAATTTGTATGGTTGCACAGGGATATGTTTGCATGCACACATAATACACACACAGAGAGAGCCCCAGATATTGCCACAGTTACTACAGGCACAATTTCTTCTATACTTCCTACAAGAAGCAACCAGCCACAGCTGAAATGGAAGGAAGATTGCCCCCAAAATTTACTTCTATAAACCTTGGGCTCTCTGGTCACTCTGCTTGGAGTTCAGAGGTCAGCCTGACCCTTCTCCCTTGCCTTCACAACAGAGAAACCAAGGAGCAATAACTTCAACATACACAGGACTCCTAAATGTCCCCTGACTTGAAAGCAGCACCAGTCCCCCATCAAATTGGGTGCTGGAGAGGAAGGATAATAAGTCCCACAGCTGAGCTGACTATAGTTCCAGGGATGAAAACCTGAGGAGTGGAGGTATTGCCTCTGGGAAGAAGCGAAGGTGCTCTCAAGGCCCCAAACCCCACAAGTGTGGCCAATTGCTCCCTCCTCGGACCCTCCAGTGATAAGCTACACCTGGCCCCTTCTGGTGTTCCCTCCTGTGATGTGTGGAGGGAACAGGGTACACTTGGGGACAAGGGACCAGGCTTCAGCATGTGCATCTCTGTCTTCTGTATGTGACTGTGTTAGTCCTATGTGTGAGTATGAGAGTATGTATTGCTTGTTAAGCTCTAGTTGTTCATTCAACATTGTCACTGCACAATGGCGTCACTCAGGGTGGAAGAAAGATTGTGTATGGATGTGCCCCTCTAGGGTGGCACATCTCTCCTGTCATCCATCATGGGCCTCTGTAAACATAGCCATGCAGAAGGGGCAAGACTATGGTGAGGCTGTGCACAGGATGTATTGTGTGAGAGAATTAGGTGTGATGAACAGGCACCTGGTAGAGTGCTCACACAGAGTAGGCAGCCAGTGAAAGCATGAATGTGTGTGATGGGCCACAGTAGCTGTGCATGATGCTGCGTGCCGCCATGAGCAGAACACATGTCACCCTCTATGTGCTATTATGCAATTGCATTTGACTATGTTTACATGTATGATGAT